CCCGGCTGCCTGCACGCAGAAGGGCTACCCAGCCGTCCTCACCGGTCATAGCAGCGTCCGTGCAGGAGGCTCTTGGCGTAATCGTCCAGACTCTCCTCCCGCTCTCGACTGTAGTCTTGCGCCTCTTCGTCGAAGGTCAGGAAGAAGGCGGCTCGGTCAATGCACTCCAGCGATGCCTTGTTCCTGCCCCGGCTGAAGTACCTGGCACGGGCCTCGGCCCACGGAACCCTGGGGGAGGGGAGGGGAGGGGAGGGAAGGAGGGGGCCTGGGTCCCACGCGTGCCTGCTGGCCAGTTTCCTTCGCCCGGAGCAGCAGCAGCAGCCATTGCACCCGCGCTGGTCTCTAGGGCTCACGGCACGCTCGGCTGTGGGGCCCTGCTCCCCACCGACTGCAGGGGAGCCTCGGTTTCCCCGCTGCCCACCCTCCCACAACGGGTACCTGCTGCCTGCTGTGAGGGCCGCCAGCCTCAGCTCCCCGGGCTGCGGTGGCGAGGGGTCATCCAGGATGCGCTGGAACTGCATTTCGAGGTCACGGGGCGGCAGCATCTTCCCCCCGTGGTACAGCCAGACCTTGTAGAAGCGCCCTTTGTGGAAGACCGCCAGGTGCTTGCTGTCGGACAGGTGCAGAAGGGAATCTGGGGGGAGCGCAGGGGCGGGGTAAATGACCGGCTGCCCCCCGGCAGTCTCTGAAGGGCAACGGGGCGGAGGGGGCTGTCCCCAATCTCCAGAGCGTCTCTGTGGGATGTGCCTGACTCTCACTGGCAGTGGTTCTGCTCCACACTGACCTATAAACTCCCTGACCCTTTTTTCTCTTCGGGGGCTTGAAATCAGAACAACGGCGTGGGGCCCCAGGGTCAAAGGCCAACTCTCCTGCTGCTTTTTGCTTCTCCGTTGCGGAGGCCTGGAGGAGCGCGCCCAGGATTGGCCTCAGGCCCCTTCACCTTCCAGGCATGAAGGCTGGACTCCCATCCTCACAAAGCTGCAGAACCCCACCCCGTCCCCCACTTTGGCTACGTGACATTACTCCGTTTGGGTTGAATGCTGCTTCTGGTTTCAGGACAAAACCGTTATTGGGGAGGAGGCATGGGGGTGGGAGCCCTGGGACCCCTCACAGGCACGGGGTTTTTATTCCCCTGGGAATCCAGGCGGAGGCCAGACCCCGCTGGAGCACCGCAGCTGGCCAAGAGGACCTGCCCCTGCGGCCCCCGCCCACTCTGGGCAGCCTTCACCAGCTTGGCTGCTGAGCGCGTCGGGTGCTGAAAGGCACACCTGTCCTCCCCTCCCCCAAGCACAACCGCCAAGCCGGAGGCAAAGAAATCTTGTCCTGCTTGGAGGTTCCCGGAGTGGGGTGGGCCTTGCTGACTGCAGCGGGAGAACCCTAACCCGGGACCACAACCCCAGAGCCCTGCCAGAACCCCTTCCAGGCCCAGCAGGAGCGAGCCGCGCAGCCATCCAGCACTGCATGCGCAAACCAGCAGCGTTTGCATCCCCGCTCGGCCTGGCTCGCGACTTCGTGCACTGAGACCTCTTGGCTGCCCCAAGGAAACAGCGGGAGAGAAAATGCAGGAAAACCACAGGCTACGGGGGGGTGGGGGGGGTTGGCAACTTGCTTAGGGCCCGAGGGGGGTCTTCTTCCCCCCAACGCCGCCCACCTGCCTCTTTGCCAGGGATGCGTGTTGTGTTGAACATCCTTTCCATCTGATAGGAGCACATGGGCACCACCCCCAGCGCCATCACCTGGTGGCAAAAACAGGTCAAGGGATTCATTGAGGGAAAAGGCTTCCACGCTCTGATGCGTCAGCTGCGGTGCTGAACTTGGCGTTAGAAGGTCAAACGGCCCCAGGCAAGAGGCGGGATGGTCTGAGCAGAGAAGGGGCACCCACAGGCCTCCGCTGCAAGTTTGGGAAGACAGATCAGGGTCCCTGGCGGGGGAGGGGAGCAAGAGCAGGCAGGACCCCCTGGAAAGAGCACGCCCTCAGACTCTGACGCCCCCAACCCCCGGGTGGCAAAGGGCCTCGCTGGACCGCCTGTAACGGGCACAGTTCTCCCTGGTTTTCCGCCAGTGCTCATTCACGCAGAAGCGCCGGTTTTGTCTTCAAAGCCCCTTTGCAGAAGGCCTAGGAGGCTGCATGCTTTGGCTGAGTTCAC